AAATAAGTTTATTTTGAATAACATTTAAATATAAATTTATAAGAACTGCAGCAGTAGCAACTGTAAATGTGTATTTGTGTGCTTCTAACTGCTAAATGTTTCAATTAAATATCCAAAATATTGCAAAGCGTTTTTTTGGGATGTATGTTATCACTTATGAGTTTTCATAGTTATATATATTTTTTTTAGTCTTAAATCTAATGTTTGTATTTATCATAGGCAGTTCTGTTACGGAATAAATAGGAGGTTTATAATGCTTTTCTTCACTCGGTTATTTCTGGTTATTTAATTCAAAAATATCTACATTAAATTTTTTACCTACTATTTTTCATTTTCGGCAATTTCCATTTTGTTCTCCATGCATGCAGTATCATTCAACCAGATATCTGAATGAGACAATTTTTTTAACTGCATCTTATAACGTATTCGTGCTTATATCCAACTTATTGTTTTTTACTGCCCAGTTAAATGCCGGTGTTGATCAGTTTGTCAACTTTCACTAAAATTTAGTTCGAGAAACTGTTATTCTCTTCAAGAGAATTTTTAATAACTTTCAAGCTTAGCTAACTCCGCCAATTCCTCTACTCAAAATGAAGAATCAGTTTAATTTATGATTTGGTATAAAATTAATGAAATCCAAACTTTGGTTTGAAAAACGTTTAAAATATATCTCGGCTTTAATACATACATTATATATATATGTGTGTGTTTGTGTGTGTTTGTGTGTGTTTTTGTGTGTGTGTGTGTGTGTGTGTGTGTAAATGCTAGTTTTATATTTGTATCATTATTATTTTGTGAACTAATCATTTGAAGTACCTCCTCTTTTTCACTTCATCATCATCAGCGGCATGTTGTTTTAATTTCTGTGTACCCATTAACATTCATGATAAATTTTCATAGCACTGCATTTTTTTATTACAATTCTCTATATAAATTTTACATTTTTTGAAAATAATATGTAAATTGTTTAAAATAATGTATTTTTTTTTTCAAATTGAACGATTTTGTTAGTTACTTGAATGTTGTGAGTACGTGTCGTAACTTTGGCAATTAATTTGCAGGTTGAGTTATTGCTTATTTGTCCGTTATAATATAAATATCATGTAATGTTATTTCATAAATATATATGTGTTTATGTATTGTATATTTATGTATTCATTTGTATTTTATATGTATATATAAAAAGTATAATAATAGTTATATATATATATATATATATATATATTAGTATATTAACAGATATATTTATTAATTAGCGTAATTGCCCTTTAAAGTCATTTATTATTTTATACTAATTATTAATTCATAATAATTGTTGAGATATTCATTTATTTATATTTTAGTAACCTTGTTACTCATATTATCCTCCATGTTTTCTTAAATTGACATTATCAGATAAAACGTTTTTGTTAGTTGTGGTTAAATAAATACATATAAAGCTTTTATTGTTATTATCATTATTAATATTTTACAAAGCGAAATGTAATTAAACGTGCGCTCCGGTTACATTTATTTTATTTCATCGTATTAACCAGGGAGTCGGATCTTTCCATTCGACTCCGGAAGTTGTTATTAATTTGAACAAAATTTTATTTATTTTTTCTGGAAAATATTATTTTTTCAAGATTGTGTTTTTTGGAAAAAAATATGTGTAGCAATATGCAGTCACTTTTAATACTGAAAATAAATGGTAATAATGTGAATAAAATCACAAAATATTTTTCAGTATTTTTAAATCACAAAAATAAAGTTACTAAGAAAAACAATTACATCGACTGTTTTTTGTCAAAAAGTTTTTTCAAACATTTTTCAAACAAATTGTAGATGTTATAAGATGGTATTTGCTTTGGAAGATGTTCCAAAAAATTTTATAACCTCCGCTTTGTGATATTCTTATTAAAATGTGGCCGGAGCGTTACTTTAAAAAATGGCTGACGCATTTAGCGATAAATCAGTCAATTTTTTTTCAAATTTTGATGGAAACACAAACATTGAAAGATCACAATTGTACAAATACGCTACTCAAGTTTTATTTTGGTGTTTGCTGTGTTTTTTTTTTTATTATTGACATCCAACGTCAAAATGTAGCCGGAACGTTACGTTGGAAAGTTACTGACGAATTTTAAAAACTCGATTGATTTTTTTTCAAATTTTGATGAAAAACAAGCAATGAGAGATCGCTATTGTACGCAAAGACTGATTTAAGAATTTGGTACTCTTCTTTTTCCTTTCTCGTGCCTTATCCCTTCAGGACATTGGCGACCATCGACCTCCACAAAACCCGATCTTTAACACTTTGTAGTTGTTAAAATGTGGTGCTAATCAACAAGTGACACAAGGACTTCACGAGTGTTATTCGTTGTTGACCGCGATTTCTTTTCCTTGAATTTTTCCAGTAATTGTTAGATTTTCCATTCTTTCCTTCCGCATGATGTGACCAACAAACTTTAACTGCCCCAGTCGGGTTATCTGTATATATTTCCTCTTTTCATACCCGGACTGTTTTAATACATCCTCATTGGGAATATTCTGATTTTACTGTTGGTGAGGATGTTTTTCATTTTAGAATAAGCATCCTTCGCTATAGCTATCCTTCTTTTAATATCCATATCACATTTACAACCTAAAGTAACCAAGCTTCCGAGATATTGAAGCTGTTGACTTGTTTCACCTGTTTACTATTAAAGATTATGGTGCAGATCGCGGCGGTTTTGCTTTTACTGGTAACCATGCACTCTGTTTTGTTGATGTTAATTTGCAAGCCTTTCCTTTCACTTACAAAAACTAGTTTAAAAACAATAGTTTGCAATTTTTCCCTTTTGAATCTGCAATAAGAGCTGTATCATCAGCGTATCTTATATTGTTAATATTCACGCCTCCAATGGATATTCCCGGTTGAGACTGTACAGGTCTGGAGAGAATATACAGCTTTGCCTAACACTTTTCTTTATTTCGACAAAATTTTGGCACTTTAGGCTTAAAAAATTTAGCCGATTTCCATTCATTTAACTTTTTGTTTTTATTATTGACAAAAAATATTCAATACATTTATTTGCAAAATAAAATTTTATTTTTTACTTTTTTTAAATGATGAATGAAATATACATTAAACTTTTTTACGTTCTCGTGCTCTGGAATCGAATGTAGCCGAAGCGTAATCGAATGTAGCTGGAGCGCAATCAAACGTAGCCCTAGCGCGCGAGGTAGCGTGAGCTCGGCTGAACAGTTAGTTTCTATTCGCGAACAAAAATGTCTTTAAGCTCATTCGGAAGTGCATGTGTGATATGTTTGATGACTTAAGACAGAGCGGAAGACTGTTTTAGATATTCGAGCCGATGACTAAAAGTTTTTATGCTGGTTTTAACAAGCTTTTTAATAGCAACTGGTATGTATATATAACATGTATGTATCATTTTAAATGTTTGTTGTAATGTATGTAATCATGCATGTTTACATGTATGTTTGTATATGTTGATAGTTGAGGCATCGGTATCTTTCATAAAAAAAAATTTAAAAAAGGTCAATTAAACTATTCCTAGATTCTGAGGAATCGACAACATCGAATCGAACCCGGTCACAGCACGCATTGCATAACAGCATCAGACGGCAAATCCACACCAATAAGGGGAGTGCCAAGATGTTTGAACTCAAAAATAGAATTTTTTGTTAGAACTCAAGATACTTGAAGTAAAAAAATTCAAATTTTTTTAGAAAAGAATTTTGAGAGTGTTGTGGACGATTAATGTTGTAATATGTGCAAGTGTGCTGCTGTTTTTTGTGGTGATTTCGTTCACGAATTACTTCACTTTGGCCCGTCATGACTCAATTTGGTGAAATGGTTAGAATAATTTTTCTTTATTAAAATGAGAGCATTTTTAAATTTATTTATGATTTGTAATTAAAAAGGAGAATGATTTAAAAATTACAACGATTTTAGATTCGTTGGAATTACTTTTCGGTAAATTTTTTTGTAGATTGAGAAAGAAATTATCTTTCCCGATATAACCTTCCTCAACAGTGACCCGTTTGCGTCTGGCTACCCAAAAGAACCGCTCATAAATTCAAATTTTGATTTTTTAGAAAGTGACAGACAAAGAGACGTCGCTCAAAATTTTTTTTAAATTATCAGATTATGAAAAAACTGTGTAGAGAGAAATATTTTCAGAGCCTGGTTACGTATCAAACTTGCCGACGTTTGATCAACTTTGTAATATATGACCTGCCCAAATTTAATTCTCGATTGTAGTGTCGTCACTTTTGATTGCTTGATTAAAAGTATAGATTGCAGAGAAAACTTTTTTAAATGTGGAATCAGAATTATTACATTTGCTACACGTTGAGAACTATCTCACTGAGTTCAAAGGATGGTGCACAAATTCGAAGTGTCGGTTGTACTGAATGTCGGTTCTTCTTATCATAATCGCTTATGTCTTTTGAGTTCTCAAAGCAGGGGGGTCCATGTGAGTGTGCACAACCCAGGGTCTCCACCCGATTTGAAACGTGGATTAATAATGGCTCCTGGAACTGAAAACATAGTCACAATTGTTCAGACGGAGAGGTTTCGATTGGATAAGCCGCACAATAAGTTTGTTTATTTGTTCGTTTTTGATTGTTTTACTATTTGAATATTTAAATTATACCGTTTAGATAAAAATGTTCTATTATTTTAAACGTATTATTTGGGTCAACTCGAGAACATTTTGCCTCTAAACAGACGAGGATGCACAGAGCAGCAGCACATAACCAGCTGTATTCATACGATCTGTGCGTGGCGTACTGCCAACAGAAACTCACGTTGGATCAGTGTGAATGCATTTCTCATTACCACCCCATACCTTCCAGCGTCGTCCTCGATAGCTTCAATGTTTGCGTCAACCTCAGCCTTCAAGATCAAAATTTCAATTTAAATGCTCCAAACAATTTCTCTGTTTGAAAGCTTTTACGAAAAGATCACATTGTTTGGTCTCCTTGATTGGCACGAAATCCTGCCAGGCAAATTGCTTAATGCCGTGTACAGAAACAATTTTTTCTGGCGAGTTCATCTTGGGAAACCGCTGAGAAATCGTTTCGTTGAGAAACAAAATTACAATAAATGATAAAATAAATTTTGTAGCTCGTTTAATCGAAAACGTGTTTTACAACACTGAACGAATTTAACAACCATACACTTTTTAATTCTTTGTTAGCATAGATTAATTAACAACTAATTAAATCTCAAAACATAAAGAAATTTAACAGCTACATTATAACACGTTAAAAATTCTATTAACTATTACAATACCAGTAATTTGATTAAATTTAAACTTCACTTTCAGATCAAACAACTTTATGAAATTAAAAAGAGTGCTTATAATTTAATCTCTGCTGACTTATTGAAGAGATGAAAATTATTAAGTAAATAGCATTTTAATCTATTTGTTCAAGTTGACGATCAAATATATTTAGGCAGAGAACTGACGGATATGTCAACATGTTTGTAACTCAATTCAAACACTAATTTGTTTTCAATAAATTGATCCCGGCATATGATTTTTAGATATGTGATCAAAGTACTGCTTGTTATCCGCCAATGTCTTGCTGAACAAATCCTTATGGTTGTTAATCATTAAGAACAATTTCTCTCCGTGACCGAATTTATGGAATTATCACATTTGGAAAAATTTATTTTGCAAAACCGTTCAACGAGAGCTTCGTGATAGAAGTCGTGCATATTTTTAAGTATTTTGCATCGCTGACGTTCAAAAAGCAATGGTATGCCAAGCCATTTGTCAGTGCCAAACTTGCTCTCCATTTGGATGCCATTGATGACTTTTGGAATGTTTTCAATGTAAAAATTTGAAATCAGATATTTTTTCTTGTTTTGACTCAAGAACCTGTTGAAAGTATCAAGCCTGAACAATTTTTGGGTATGGTCCCTGTGATCCAAGAACTCGTTTATTTCTTCTCTGACAACGTCTTCAAAAATTTCATTTAAGCTGTCTTCTCCATCTTAGCCGTCCATATTGAATATTAAAACGTTCAACAATTTTAAAAATTATTAATAATTGAAAATTGCTCTATCAATATCAAATATTAGAAAGTTTTAGTTTCTGATGAAAACTTCCGGCTTATGCTCTTAACAAAGGAGTTTACAACAAAACTCTTTACATTACTAACAAAGAACTGTTATAGAGTTTTTGACTACCTTAAATAAATATTCATACAAAGGAGCTTAAATGCAGCACTTTCATTACAAAGAATCGGTTTAACAATAAAATAAATGTAAAAAAGTCAGTAATTTTGGAGTGAAGTAAATACCAACCTACTAATCCTTTCCAGACATGCCGCATCAAACACATCATCGATGATATCATTTATTTCAATATGAAAAATCTCCTAATAAGATAAATTTTTTGTTTATATTTTTTCTCCTCCTAAAATTTGTTTCGATGGTTATTTCGACTTCGTCACTTTTTACTGAATCTTTTCCAAACATTTGTCAGGTTTATATAATTGGATTTCATGATTTTAATAATACAGTGTGTGCGCGTGCGTGTGTAACGTTATTTCTTTTACTAAAAATTTTCAACTACTGCATGTTAATATTATTTTCAAAATTTTTGACTTTTCAAAGGAGTGTGGAAATAAAGTACGTAGGAATTTCGAGACGTAATTTAATTAATAATTTTATTATAAAAATTAACCAACAGACAATGAGACAAATGTACTTTTCTGCCATTTCAAAAAATAAAAAAATTGAAATAAAATCAAAAATACATTTCAAATAATTTTTTCATCAAAAGATGTTACAATAATGTGATTAAAAATTTTTTCTTTGCAGACGATTCGTCCATTGTTACAACTCATACGATGACTCATTTTCTGCATTTCTAGTGAGATCTTGGAAATATTTTCAATGAATTTTTTATCTAGAAAGCTTGATTTTATCTTTAAAGCCTATTAAATGCATTTTGTTCGCATGATGTTACGATGTTTTAGACTTATTCTATGGCGGATCTAGACAACTTTGACGGGGAGTTGGAAACAAAATTTTTAAAACGTTCAAATTTTCACAAGGGTCCAAAATTTTCTCGGCTTAGGGTTAGGGTTTAACAACAATTTTAAGAACAGCACGCTAACTGCAACGTTGAATTACTTTCGTGTATATCGAATTTAATAACGTGTGCAATCGATATAGCATAATGATAAACAGTAGATATAATAAAAATGGTACTTCACGTATCTAGAAAATTACTTAATATCGCTGCATGCGTTTAACTGCTCATCCCACCCCCATCATACCGTGAAAGAAGAAAATATTTAACGTCTGGCTTAACCCGTGAATCGTGACTGCTGGAAAAATCTTCAATTCCAATTTTGACTTCCTGAAAAGGACAATCCAAAGTGGATGACACTCCGTGTTTCATGAGTTTAATAAGATGTACGTCGATCATGGGCTACAAAATACTTCGACTAGGTTGCAGCAAATAATGGATAAACACGTATAAACGAAGATATTTTAGTATTATTACATGAAGGTGTTTTTAAAAAAACTTTTTTTGAATGAGACAATTTAATTCGATACTCAAAAAATAATTTAGTTATTTATTTGTATAATTAACATGTAGTTATCTGGTCACTGTATCAGTATTTTAATTTTTGTAATTCATTATATTAATTATATGTTTGATCTGTTATAATTTTTTCCATTATACTTTAAGTTTTATAATTACATGCATAAAAATGATTGTCTTATGTTTAATTTGTACGTGTGTATGTGCGTATGTGAGTGCGTATGTGAGTGCGTATGTGAATGCGTATGTGTTAATATGTATGTAGGTGTGTGTGTATATATACAATATGTGTGTTTCAATGCCAGTCATTTAAAACACGGTGTTGGAGAATTTTATATTTTATCGGAAAAACTTCGCAATTTCAGTTAAAATAAAATCTTTGAAAGAAGACAAAGGAAGCGTTTGGACCAAAACTTTTTCATTGCTACCGCATATTAGAACAGCAACAGTTTTTTTGCCAGAAATCCATGTTACCATGTCAAAGCTTTTCATTATTAACAGCTTCTTATTACGGAAAAACCGAAAAATATTTAAAATTAAAAATTCTGATTAGTATAATTGAATGCGGTATTTAAAAAATCTTTGCATATGTGGAGTACTACATTTGTTCTACATATATGGTGGAGTCATACAAAAAAGATAATCTGAGGAGCAGTTTTGGCGTCCTCCTTGCAGACGGTGCCTACTGCATGATGCAGTATCTTACAATCTCCTCGCCCAGTGGCGTCACTAGGGTTGGTGTCACCCGGTGCGGTAACTCATGGTGTCACCCCTCTCATGACACCCCATAGACATACAGCATTCTTAGCAAAATTTATAAACACGAACAAGTTAAATGTGCTCGGCCGCGGCGCCTAATAATTCGAACGTCGAATTTGAATGGTATAAATGTCGAATACAAAAATGATTTGAACGAAAAAAATTTTATTCATAATACATTTCTGAGCGCTGGGCGGGTTAGGCTGAATTAATGATAAGAATAATTTCATGGAGGGACATAAAAACATATACAGTGATATTTTGGTGACACCCCCTGTGAGGGTGTCACCCGGTGCGGTCCGCACCCCCTAGTGACGCCACTGCCCTCGCCACGTCATATTTTTCAAATTTTTCATTAAAATATGATAAAAGCAGTTTGGTTTATAATTTATTGTTCTTTTAAAATATATTTTTTCAATCAATAAAATCAAACGTACTATTTTTTTATTTTTTGACAAAAAACTTGCAGTATTAAGATCTTTCATATAGGTATTAGTATTAGTAATATTGGTAGCATACTACTAACGTTTGCTGTTGGCATCTTTGGGCCATTCCGTCCTAAAACTCCAATAAAAAAGGTCAATAGAATCTTTGATAATTTTATTCAATTTGTATTTATAATCTTTCAAATCGTTCTGACTTCGCTTCGCCATTGTCTCTTGGGTCGTGCTGTTTTTTGTTAAGTTGTTTGAACTGTTTAATTTATCTCGTAATGTCTTCTCGGCCTGCAAACGTTGATTTGTATTCCATACTCGGAGTCTCCAAATCCGCCTCAAATGGAGAAATCAAAAAGGTTGTTTATTGTTTTTTTTGTTCTAAAATGAATTTTTGACATGGTTTTTATGTTTTTTTTTCATACTGGTGTTTTGTTTTGTTTGTTGCTTGTTTGACTTTGTTTTGTTGGTTGGCTGAGTTTCTATCACTTTCTTCATCAAACTATTAAGCACGAAATAATTTACTATCTTATTTGTAGTATATCCATTTAAATTAAAACATGATTGTCTGATTGTAAATGACTAAAAAAGTAAAAACTAAATTCTAAGTAAAAATTTATTATTAGTGGATGAGCTAGTGTTATATTTTTAGCTGCAATTTAATTTAGTTAGAGAGATTCTCTAGATGAGTTTTCCATCTTGATTAGTTTTCCAACATTCAATCTAATTACTAATTCACCCGAAAGTTTTATCAAAGTTTATTAAATAACTCATTGTTTTTTGTCTTTTTGCATATCTTCAGATTAAAATTTAATCATTAATAAATTAAATCTAAATTAAAAATTGTTTTTATGTACTTCAAAAATGTACATTTTTCATGGTTTGTTAATTGTGCTCATTGAATAATAGATGATTAATTATTATTTAGGCATATCATAAACTCGCCAAAGAAAACCATCCTGACAAGAACCCTAAAGCTGGTGAGAAGGTATAGAGAGTTGTGTTCTATTATAATAAAACATGACTTGTTTCAATTTGTTTTTTAATTAATATTAATCAGTTCAAAGAAATCAGTTTTGCATATGAAGTCTTATCAAATCCTGAGAAACGAGAAATATACAATAGACATGGGATTCAAGGTCTGAAGGAGAAGTCTGGTCGAGATGGTACAAAATTTTTTTATTAAGTTATTAAGTTTTAACTATTTGTAAAGTTTTGTTGAATAATATATTTGTTTTTAGGATAAATGTGGGTAGAGTTTTATTTTCTTACATTCAAAAAATTATATGTTCTTACTCGAATAGTGAGACAAATGCGAAAAGGAAAAAGATGGAACTTATATATATTAAAAAATTGTAATCATTTAAAAATATTTATATATTAAAATTTTTTGGCTTTTATTGCATTTTTTACCTTAAATAGATATGTGTAGTATTTATTTAATAGTTTGTTAAGTTTAAGTTGGCAATAGGAATAGAGGAGTTGAAAGGACGATGGAATGAGACCATGGTTAAATGCAAGTCTTTTGTAATGATTTCTTACAATATTTTTCTATCAGACCATAAATTGGTCTGAAAATATGAAAAATATTTTTTCACAAATAATAAAGAAAACCTTAATATCACTTGTCTGTTTCATGACAACTGTAATGTTTTGTTCATGCTGAACTAATTTTCTTCAAATTTATGTTTTTTAATTTTACAACCCCTAGATTGTATGGACTTTGTGTTTGTTTAGAGTTGTTAAAGAGAAATATGTAATTTTGATGCTAATCCAAGTTTTTATTCAACATAGAAAGGGAAAGGGTCGCGATTAGGCAAGCGTTTTAGTTCGAGGTTGAAGGAGTGATAGGAAGGGGTCGTCCACGATAGGGATGGAGAGAGCAGGTGGGGAAGGACAGAGTGAAAGTGGGGTTGCGTGATACTGAGGTGAGTGGCAGATGTGAATGGAGTCAAGGGGTATTTCGGTTTCATCATAGGTAGCCAAACGGCAACCCCCGATCTTGGGGAAAATGTCGTCTAAATGTGTGTTGTTGTTGTATAGAACAGACATTTTTGTGTAATGTTGCAAATGATTTTTAAACTGATAGTTTGAATTTCAAAGGACAATCCATACATATATTTTATATATTTATAACCAGGGGCATTTCCAGGGGATATATTTGAGGGATTTTTTGGAGGATTTGGAGGATTGTTTGGTGATCCATTTGGTTTTGGGGGGGTGAGGGGTGGAAGTCGACGACAAAGAGGAGAAGATACATTACATCCTTTGAAGTTTGAACTACATTCAATTGTTATTCGTTCATATGTAATATAATCAGCTTCTTTCTAATCAAATTATTTATTGGCACTCTCATAATCAACAGAGTGACACTGGAAGATTTGTACAATGGAAAAACAACTAAACTCAATCTTAACAAACAAGTCTTGTGCAGTAAATGTGATGGGTGAGATTTTTTCTAATAAATACTTGATAACATAAGTTTTAATCTTGTTTTCTAATGTATCTTATTTTAGTGTAATGATCTATTGTTAGAAATGATTGTTCTTTTCAGTAGTTGGATATGGTTGATTGAAAGTTTTTTAATAACTAATCTACAATGTTTAAGTATTTGAATGCATTTACTTCTAATAACAACAGATTAGGTGGGAAACCTGGTGCGACTCAGGCATGTAGAGGGTGCAATGGTCGAGGGATGAAAATAACGATGAGGCAACTTGCTCCAGGCATGGTACAACAAATGCAAACTGTCTGTCCTGATTGCCATGGCGAAGGTTTTTATAGTTTTTGTATACTAACATAATATAATTTCCAACAGAAAATGTTCAGTGTTTTTGGAAAATGAACTTTTTTTGTCAATCTATATCACAGGTGAAGTTATACACGAGAAAGATAAATGCAAAGCTTGTCAAGGTCGAAAAGTTATAAAAGAAAATAAAATCTTAGAAGTACATATAGATAAAGGTATGAAGGATGGACAGAAAATTATGTTCAGAGGAGAAGGAGACCAATCGGTTTGTAAATGAGCACCTAAACATATTTGTAACCCACATTACAAATTGTTAATTTGTCTTCAGTCTCTCCTAATGTAGAATCTATTAATGTTTTATGATATTAATAAAAGTTGACTGCTTCAATTGAAAAATGTTGGCAGCCAGGAGTGGAACCTGGAGACATCATAGTCGTCCTGCAACAGAAGGAGCATGAGTTCTTCGTTCGTCAAGGGATTAACTTGATTTGTCAACACACCATAGGCATCACTGAAGCACTCTGCGGCTTCAGCTTCACCATCAAACATCTGGATGGCAGGGATCTCGTCATATCCAATCCTGCAGGAGACGTTATATCACCTGGTTTGTTTTTATTTTAAAGATATTTGTTGGTTTTATGTTATACTTCACTTCTGTGCTTGATGATGTTTAACATTTTTCGTCAACTGAATAATCAACTGTTGACAATGTTTTCTGAGAGCAAGCATCTTTACATTAATTGGTTTTATTTTGTTGAGATTGTTGTCCTTATTCAATTGTAATGGTAATTGAAATCAATCTCTTAATGTGACTAAAGCAAAGAAATGAACCAAACTTTAGCGGATATTAGATTTGACTAATTTATGCCTCTGGATGTTATTTAACTAATTTATGCCTCTGATGGTGGTTAGGATTTTGTTAGAATGTATGAAAAATGACTTTAAGTTGAATTTAAATCTTTGAGAATATTTATTTGGAAAGTGAGTACCACTGTGTTGATCTTAGACACATTCTTTCAATAAATTAATGGAACCTCGATTGATAACGAGAACGACTGTTTGAAATGCAGTTGTTTTAATATGAATGATGCATATTAAAAAATAAATCTTTGTGGGTGAATGTTGGTATAATAATTTTCATGGTCCCGTGACCCAGGTAACATGAGGAGAGTGCTGAGTGAGGGTATGCCCCTTCATAAGAATCCATTCGAGAGAGGTGACCTTATTGTCAAGTTCAACATTGAATTTCCATCTAACAAGTTCAATACTGAATCTAGATTGAAGGTTTGTTTTAAAGTTTTTCAATGAACTGATTAATGGGCCTATAAATGTATTTATTCATTGAATACTTCCACTCAGTACTAATTTAATTTCTAATGACTTATTCATTATATGATACTGCATTCCAGTCTATTTTGGGGCTGTTGCAAACTCCAATGATAAATTTTGTAAACTCTTTCTCTTCAACAAGAAACTATTAAGATTTTTTGCACCTAAGATTGGGAACTATGACACGACGTGCTGCTAATGTCAATGTATTTTTCATTTACCCAACTATTCGTTGGAATAATATTCTTATCACCATATATCAAAACATAAATTTTCTTCAGCAAAAAATTCTTCTACATTCATATTTATATTTAATAAAATTTGTAAAGAATGAGACATAGTAATAAATTTTTTTCGGCTTATATAAACGTTGTCTTTACCTTAATGTAAGGAAGCTATTGCACGATGATGTTTAGTATTTTTCGTCAACCGAACAGATCATGTTGACCAACTGATTCTGAGTGCATTATTTCATAGTTTCCGTCTCTGTTTTATATTTTAAATTACAAATCTACACAACCAATGACACAAACTTCTACCTTGGTCTATAAGCATTTTTGGGTACCTTGCTGAACATCTCTTTTAATAAGCATTACTAACTTTAAATAATATTTATTTCAATATAGATATATATAGTGCATATATTGAATTAATTATAAATTTAACATTCACATAATAAACAAACAGATGCTCGAATCATTCCTACCAGCACGAGAGGACGACGGCCCACTACCAACAGGCGAACACGTTGAAGAGGTCGATATGAATGATTTTGACGCAAATCATGACCAACCAGGAAGTCGCAGGGAGGCATATCATGAGGATGAGGACGACGACGAGTCAGGACAACCCGGCATGAGCAATGTACAGTGTGCACATCAGTAAATCTCTGGCAACGCATGCATATATTTCAAATAATTTTTTATTTACTGCTAGGAATTAATTTTTTATTAGTTCAATTGACGTTGTTAATGATTATTTACAATCGTTTGGTGTGGTATTAGAGCACGGAGTTTAGTGGACTTGTGAAACATCGGTTGTTTTTGTAAGATGCTTTTCAAATTTTATTACTTTCAGAAATAGGACATTGCAACAATCTTTTCATATTTAATTCGTTAACCTTCTGTTCTTTTACATTTTTTCAATTGAAGTGTTTGTATGTTGCATATTATTATTATTATTATTGTTATTATTATTATTATTGTTTGTCAACAAGAATTTGTTTTTATGTACTTAGCATGTGTTTTGTACAATTGATTCTAGTTGATTTTCTATACATGGTATTTTTGGTTCGAACTTGGGCATCACTTTTAAGGTTATTGGATTATAACTTACATCGACTTGTAACATCTTGTAAGTCACATGTTTAGGCCATCAGTGTCAATCTGGTTCAAATTTTCGTCTTCTTGTTTGATTTCGTCTACTTCCACTGTCAAAAATCAGTGTGGTACTTGGTCAGTACTATCCTCGTCGACCTTTTCTGTGTGTTGACCTTAGGAATTAACTTTCATTAGCTCTTGCAAGTAGCATTCTGTTTTCTGAACTGAACCGACGTTGAACAAACTCTTTGACCTACTAACTTTTATAAATCGTTTTATGCGCTGATTGTTCTTGAAGATTTTTCTTGAAGTTTACTATCACACTCATCAAGAAGTGCACACTTGGTTATTAAACGTGAACAAATGCAATCAATTTTACTGATGTGCAACGAAGAACGTCATATATTTTATTCGTTCTCTAGTAGGAAGTTTTTCAATAATTTGATGTGTGTTTTAGTAAAAAGTTCCCCAGTTTTTACAGGACAGGTTTCCTTAGACACTTTTAAAATAATAGGGTCGTCAATATATTCCCTAGCCTTACGGTTAATTTAATTTGGATTTTAGCGCCGGCTTTTGCTTTAGCGACGTGATAACCTAATCGAAGTGATGCTTTTTTTGAATTCGGACAGTAACTCGGAGCAATAATGCTTGCACGTTTTCATGTCTTTCGCATCGTGTAGTTCGGACCTGCAAAATGTGAAAAATTTTAGCAAGCAGCAGCTTCCAGAAAATAAAACGTTTGAAATTCAGGCGGTTCTTGTGAATGCCGGAATCACAAAATACTCCTAGAAACGAAATTTGTTGCGTCGAACGCTTCCTTCAAAGCTCGTTAGCACTGATTAAATAAATAAATTTATTCGCGAATCTGATACCGGGCTGCTGCAAAATTTAGATTCTATTAAATTTTGTTTTAGGAATAAACTTTCAAAGTATTGTTTTAAATATACTTTTTACATTCAAATGAAAGAAAACATTTAGAAATAGAATAGGTGATTGCATTAACTACATACAAATCACCAATTAATAAAAATAATCTTCAAAAATATTTATGAACATTAAAAGAGACAACCTCAACATTAATAACAAGATTTAATAAACGGAACAGACAAAAATACAAAAAAATGTAAATGGTGTTATATAGTTTTGTTCGGTGCTTATTTCTTTCCCATCACTGGTATGAACAGTTTGAATTCTGCTGGAAGTTCTTCTTCCGAGTAGAGTCGATCAGAGAAGTATAATCTTCTAATGCGACAGTTGGCATGAATCTGTAAATTAATTAATCAACTAACATTAGCTGGCTCAATAGAATCGTTTGATGGATATGTGAAATGTTGACACATCTGATGAATGAGCAAACTAATGAGCAACTGAAAACTCTGCCTAGGTTTTTCAAGTCATGGCATCAGATCATGATTGGTATAGATATACAACTCAAATTTTGTATCTGAAAAAACTCAGCATTGTAGTAAAATTTTACTACTATTGAGTATTGAATATAAATTTTTAGATAGTTTATTGGTTCTTGGTTCATTAACTCGTTCATACACTTGTTTTTTGATCGTAGACATATATATATATATATATATATATATATATATATATATATATATATATATATATGTATATATATGTATATATATGTATATATATGTATATATATGTATATATATGTATATATATAATCAAGGGTATTTAAATAGCGCTCTCTAAATAAAAATTCTCCAAAGTACTGGAAGATATAAAATCAATAGTTCAATAGTATATATGAGAGGTAAGAGATATATAATAAATGCAATATTTAATTAAAGTAAAGAAATATTTTGAGGTCAGATAGGTTCCAGTTTTATAAAATAAGATGGGAATGTCATAAAATCGGAATTGCCATCATATTACATACATGAGAGGCCAAGCAAATCAAGGAGTGCAGTCTCGACTCAATTTTTTTATTTAATATTTGCTTCCACAATATTTTGCTGACTGGTTAACCCAGCAAAAAGGTCAGCCAATCAAAAAGTTGTGACTTGTATTCATGTTCCAATAAGCAGTCAAATGGTAACTTGCTTTACAAATACTAGGATTGCATATGCTTTAAATTGTTGCACTTGGAATCTATTTACATGCAAATATTTTGTCTTTGTGTGTGTGAAAAGTCGCTGAAGTGAGTAGCTTAATTATGGCTGGTATTAGAACATTAAGTTAATATTTTCTCAAATTCTAGTTTATTTGTTACCTTTTGTATAAGAACAAGTTTACAATCTTACTTGTACTCTCAGAGTTTCAATATAATTGGTTCCATATGCTTTCCTTGTGAAGTCTGACAAATTGAATTGAATTTGATTCCATCCTTCATCCAGTCTCATGGGCATTGTGCATATGAAGGGTTTCACTCTTGTTGTGCTCTGATAATTACTTGCTCTGAATCGGCGTCGCACATTTTTATCATCTAATATCTTCAGTATAAAACATTTAACAAATTTTAGTTTTTATTATCAATACTTATTTCAAAATCAAAACATACAAAAATTGTTGTTGAACAATAAATTATTCAATTAAGCGAAATAATGCTAAAACATCCACATAATTTACTGAATCTTACTTGAACTTCGAATGTGAAATACTTTTTCAAATTCTTTATAATCATGACTAGGAATGGCAACTTTATCCCTAATGTTTTCTTTGGGTCACAAGGACATGTAATGAAAGTTGTGCTAACATTCGTGCCTATAATTTCTAAAACCAATGACTGGATGTCGCCATCTGTAATTCTTTTTATATGACCATTTCTTACCTAGCAAAAACATTTGATCACATTCAAATAATTAATAAATCATTATAATATGACTTATCAAAATCATCAAATTATCAAAATCTTATATAATGATTATAAAAAGCTAAAAAAAATTTGCCTAAAAATTAAAATGAACCAAAGATTTTTAAACAATAAAATGAAATAAATTATATTAGGATTGGACTAGCTTTAAAAAGATTAGACAAATTTTTGTCGTAGTAAATAAGAATAAGATACCATATTAGTCAGTGTCATTTTAATTTTTAATTAATCTCTAATTGCCTACTTCTCTGCTCTACTCTAATAGTCTAATCTTTAAGACAAGTGCAAAAGTGTTAATATCAACATTAAAAACTAAAAGAATTAAATTAAAAATATTTGAATTGAAATTTGAATGGCAATATATGAATATAATCAATAATGATTATTTTATTTAATAAAAAAATTCTTTAATATTTATAAAAATATCCCGTAGTAATACCATACCTTTTTATCCCAAATTTGTAATGGTTTGCTGCCTATGCTGTATAATATAGACAGGAAGCCACTTTGAAAAGTATTCCTGAACATGTCTGCCCTGGCTGGATTTTAATTCCACGACAAACGCAAGCCGAAAACCTACGACTTTAGTTTATTTTTTTATTTGTATTTTTTCTCAACGTGTTTCCTTTTATATGCCTAATTTTAGATCTTCGTAACCAAGGAACTATTTTACTGAATAATCAAAATAAAAAATTGCAATCATCTACAATTTAAAAATAAGTTGACAATGAAATGCATTCTTGCAAACATCTTTTTGAATCATTCTATTTTATACCAAAACAAATAATTATCGAAGGAACTCTTATTACAAATTTATATTTTGTTTAAAAGAAAACTTCGTTTTTAAAACGTATTCCTGCGCTCGACAAGTTGTCAATGGTTACAGCGTTACACAAAAAATAAGAGTGCTAATTTCCTATCAACTAAGAGTTTACCTCATATATAAAATAAATTTACCCATAACTTACATTTATTTCGTTAAAATTTATTTGAATTGAAAAAATTCTGTAGCACAATTTTGCACAGATTAGTTATTTATATACTTGCCAAATTGGCATCGAAACATTTATAAATTTAGAATAGAATATCAATATAAGCATGGATATAACATGAATATAAGATAAGAAGATTATTAAACAATAATAAACAATTATAAAAATGTAATTATACATACTCATGGTGTTTTATACCAGATTAATTATCATATATTTTTTCTATAATAAACATTACTAAATTCGAGAATAGCCTGCAAGCATTCTGTTCGTAACAGATAGTAAGCAATAATGTCACAAAAGCTCTTAGGTCATGCCAAGGGCAAAGCCGGAGATTCACTCTGGATATTAGTTGTACATGTCCTACCTAACCCATTTTCTATCATTGTAATGAGAGTCGTGTTTAATTTCAAACATTATTTTATATATCTGGTTGTGGTTGTTTTTAAAATCTGATACAATCTTTTACACCCAGGATGGATCTCCGACCTGTCATTGTCGTATAACATGAATTAATTTCTTGGTAATTCAGTGTAATTCTTGTCAGGGTTAAATTATAAAAAAATAAATTGGTGTTTATCAAAATTAGATTTTTTAAATAATAACAATTACAAGGCTGATTATCAATGCAAGAACTATTGACGTGATTTGTGTATTGTTGCTTGATTTATGTGCACCTGCATCCATGGGCTATTGCGCGTGTGCATGTTAAAACATATAAGCACACATTATATGATAAATAAGAACAGCAAGGATACATAAAGTTAAATATAAATAAGCAAAATATAAAACACGAGGTCCACAATGTTATTATTGTTTTTTGGGCTTATGAAAGATTGCTAGTCCGAAAGTTACAAAATGGCAATAGATTATAAGGAGGTTGCCTTTTGTTAAAACTAAACCGAAACAAAACTTCTATGGCTATAAAATGCTGCTCTAACAAAACAGTCAATTATGGAAAAAGTCATCTCATTTTTTAAATACACGAATGACAAGTGCGAGCTTTAAAATTCTAAATATATTAGATGACAACAACGCTAAACAGATAATTGACAACAGGGCTTACAATTACACCACGGCTTTTTTCTTAAATTGACAAAAATCATATTCTAACCAGATAACTGACAATACACTAGGGATGCACCAAAGTTCGGCCCCGGCTCCGGCCAAAATCCGGCTTTTTTTTCAAATCCGGTCGAATCCGGCCCCGGCCGGATTTGGTGGCTGGATTTAAGCGTCTATCAACTTTTAAAAAGGTTATAAATAGAAAAAAATTTTATTGAATTCAATTAATTTTATGTCAATAAGTTAAAGGCTAAGGCTAAGCTAAAGGCATACATGACACATAATAACAACATCACCAATTGTGAGGTAATCTGGACAATTTTCTTTATGCTATAACATGGGTTATGCATAAATTATAAGCTGATCTTTGTGTAAAAGAACTTGTGCACGTGTATATACTATATATTGATAATTGCATATGACGGATCATATAGCTACATAATATACATACATATATATATATATATATATAGAGAGAGAGAGATACATAAGCACATAATTTAAGAAAAGTTAGGCTAGGTATACATGACACATAATTACAACATCACTAATTGTGCGGTGAGCTGGACAATTTTCTTTGTGCTTTAACTTGGGTTATGCAAATATGCATAAATTATAAGCTGATCTTTGTGTACAGAATTTGGCGTATCACACAACTTATTCATATATTTCAATTAAATAACATGTTCAACATGTAGATAACCGTAAATGTATTTTTTCTAACTTATGTAAAATGGTAACTAAAATCCGGCCCCGCCCGGTTTTTGAATTTTAAATCCGGCCAAGTCCGGCCCCGGCCGGATTTGAAAAACCTGATCCGGTGCATCCCTACAATACACAAACAATATTAAAAATACACCTCCAGTATAGCGATCAACCACAAAAAGAATTATGACGAGGACACTAAATCATACCGTTACAATTACGACAGTGATCTTATATACTGTCACCTTTAGGTACTATATGAAACATGACAGTATTCATAGAATGATGTACGTGTGAGCATGTGTTTGTGTGTATGTATTTATTTAACATTTCTGTTACATTTATAGGAAGAATTTGTGTGTATGTATTTATTTGACATTTCTGTTACATTTATAGTAAGAATTTGTGTGTATGTATTTATTTGACATTTCTGTTACATTTATAGTAAGAATTTGTGTGTATGTATTTATTTGACATTTCTGTTACATTTACAGTTGGAATTCTTAGTTAAGAGTGGCCTATCCACAAGTTTATCTTTTTTGGTTATCCTTTAAATAAAAAAAAAATACGTTTTGCATACATGTATTAGTCACACGGTAACCACGGCCACGTACGATACGGCACAAAGAACGTTTAAAAAATAAGCACTGCACTTTGTCACGGTGCCCGGTAGTAAGTTCTGAGAAGGTTGTCCAATTTATCACGGTCAAAAAAATGTTTAAGGAAATGCTCTTTTCCTATGATGTGAAACATAAGTTAAGGTTGTAGGTACTCGGCGATTGTTCCGTTAAGTTAAATCATTTACGAAACGCTGCAAACATATTTATTGTATTATAAGTATACCTAAGTCGCGTTTTTCTTACATCGTTTGAGACACTTTCACTTGTAAAAATAACCACAAGAATAGGTCAATAAACGCTTTTCTAGTATATATGAAAAAAACCGAATAAAAAGTTCTTTTTAAAAAAGTATTGAAACAGTTTTACTAAATAAAATAATTTGAAAACATCAGATGTTCACTGCTAATCATCAGAGTCACTCACGTTTATGTCAGGCAATGAAAAATTTTTCAGAGATGATTTTATTCTTTTTGGACAAGGTTGATGATTTTTTGCATTTGTTATCGAACTGTGTTTGTCAGGACTGTTGTTAATTTCAAAAGCATCATCATCAGTGCCATCTTTGTAAGTCACAGGTGATTTCTGTTTTCTTTTTCTGGTTAAGCCTCTCGTTTTCATGGGGCTAAAATACAAGATCGGCAAAAACACTAAGTACAAAAACAGGAAACTTACAAACATTTAAACAAATAATGGTTAGAACAGTCACCTGAATTTGCAGTTAGTTTCTGTGTTTTCAGCTGCAGATTTTACAATATTTTTCTGAAAAAATTATACTTAAAATTCAAACGTTTATTAAAAAGATCACAAAATAAAATAGCAACAATTGAAAGAGTTAATTTATAAAGACAGCCAAATGAATAAGATAGATTACCTCAAATTTTTTTTGATTGCCTGATCTCAACGATTTCAATCTTGAGGTGTCCAAAGATGGCGAATAATTAGAGGCACTTTCAACACATACACCTCTCTTAGACTCTTCTTTTATTCTCACAGCTGATTCAAATTTCTCACAACCATCAGCAGATCTGTTACTATTATTAGAATTAACAAAGTCAATGTTTATGTCGTTGTTAGACGCTTTACTACTGCTACTAGAAGAGTTTGGGGAATTAATTAAATCTTGTTCATCTTCTGTTTCAGCATCTGAATCTGCAATATTTTCGATTTTATCACTTGTTCTAGGAGTATTTATTAATTCTACATCATTTGATCGAATATTTGTAAACATTAAGTCATCTTTTGTGCTATCTGTGATCCATTTTTTCTCTTCAAAGGTGTCGTAAACAAGATCATTGGATACAACATCATGGAATTCATTTTCGAGCTTCATGTCACTCGAGGTTAAGTTGTTAGTACTGTGGGTGACAACGTTACAAATTTCATCACTAGTTGATGCTTTAAACAAATCTTCTTCACTTTTCACATTGCCATTGCTTTCATTACTTACTATTTTTGTACAATGTGTGACTTGATTAATTGTACTTGATTCATTTAAATTATGACTGAAATTTTTTTCCTTTTCAAAATTGTGAAACAATGGCCTCTTTGCATTTGAAAAAGCCCTATTTTGCGGATTCCCAGCAGCACGCAAATCAGTGTTGTTATTTTTGATTATGTCTGAAGCACGACCAACATCTTTTGCATCTTCTTCTCCCTCACTTTCCTTTCCACCACTTACTGTTGAGACAGCAGTGACATTTTCGGAGATGGATCCACAATTTGATGCACTTGATTCTTTTGCTTTCCAATTTTTCTTCGCAGCTTTAATCAGTTCAGCAAATTGTGATTTGTGTTTTTTAACTGTAAATTAAATACAACCATTTAAACTCAGAATAATTGCCAGACAGAATAATTCTATAAAACAAAATTCAACAAACAAAATTGATCCAAACAGATCTTATGAAATTTAAGAACAAAAAAAAACTAGCCATAGAGTTTCTGGGCATTTTCTACCTGTTCAGCTGTTGACGACTTGTTGATGTTCAAACTTGGCAGACTCTGCTGATTAATAATAATTTGAAAAACAACACACACATAAAATATAAAAATCAATATACTTTTCTTGGAAAATATTATGCATGACAAAAAAGCTTGCATAAAATTGTATGCTGTAAGACAAAATGTATGAAGATCTTGAATTTAAAAAGTAGGACGATAAAGACAACATATCTGACATGTGAATGGATGTGTAAATTCACGGAAACGTTGTAATAACTAAATTTAAACTAAAAATATAATTGAACAAACCTTGATGGGCGAGAGAACTCCTCGCTGGCTTTCCATTCTCATAACCTCTTTGGCTATTTCACTAACTTTTCAAATAATAAATATCATAAACGAACCATTCTTAAAACATATTTGGCATTAACAATTTTAATAACAAAATTTTCATCATTAAGTCAGACGTAAATATAACTTGGGATCATGCACCATATCACCATCACAACTGGTAAACTTATGTGACGCATTAACTAACGATGAGGATGATTACATAACTACACATAGGACCAGCACCAGGACCAGGAACTGACACACACATATAAGCAGACAGACACACAAACACACCTGGCTTGGGTTCTAGTGCATCACATTCTGCATTGTACAGTAACCTATATTCTTGCAACCGATTGATTAGTTTCTAAAAATTTATAAGAATTCAGTGAATTATCACACGAAAAAGCATTTGCAAATTTCAATTAGGGCCTTTTTATTGTAAGAGCATAACAAATGTTGTTCAAAGACCATTTTAAGGCGTTTTTGAGGCCAAATTTTTTCATGTGCTGTAGTTTTAAATTAGTAATGCATAAAGATTAGAAATGTACAGAGTATAAAAACGTAGCTACTTATGTGCAAAATGGACACAATAAATGTAGTCTTCTAAATAAACAATTTCAGAACAAAATAAACATCGGCCCACTCAACGAATGCATGCACACGCAGATTGAAACAGCAAATTTGTTTGAAACCTGCTTGTCTCCATTTGTTGGCAAACCATATTCTACAAGTCTCTTTCTAATTTCCTTGTCAGACATAACGTTGAAGACAAGCTTGGTTAGTGGCTTCCGTTTGGGCAATTGTTGATGACTACAAATTGGAAAAAATTAAAAATGAAATTCTGGCACTACATCAGGTTATTGTTCTAAAACATAATTAAATATAAAAATGGCCTTTTTTTATAATATAAATAGTTGAACTATCGTAAATCAGTAACATCATATAATGAGAGGCTCACAGAACTATTGTATATTAAGGTTATGAACAGTCAGATAAATGAATGTCCATGAAATTTTCAGCCCTGTAATTATAACCTTCTCCTGCTGTCGAATTCCTTATTTTCAATTGAATTCATATTAAAGTAAATTCAAGATAGCAATGTTTTTGAAGCCATTAAGGTAGAGAAAGTCACATCGTTTCAATATCTAGGGGATGTTCTGGATTGTACTGGAACAACTGAAGTTGCCGTTCGAGAACGCATACGTGCAGCCTGGAATAAATGGCATCTTCTTGCCTCTATATTGATGTGGCGTGACATCCCACTACCACTACGATCAAGACTTTATAAATCTGTGATACGTCCGGTGTTGTTATATGGTGCAGAAACATGGCCAATGACAACCAAACTGGAAAAACAACTTCAACGAACTGACATGAAAATGCTCCGATGGATGCAATGAATTAGTCTGAAGGACCACATCAAATCTACCGAAATCCTGCGTCGTGCTGGTTTAGATGATATAAAGGACGAATGCCGGCAACACCGTCTGCGGTGGTTTGGTTATGTCAAACGAAGTGGAAACAGTGCCATAACTTCTCTTGCAGATGCTGAAGTACCTGGCACACGTCCCAAAGGCCGTCCAAAGAAGTCCTGGTCGCAAACATTCGAGCAAGACATGAAAGCTCTAAATTTAAATGAAATGGATACAACTGATCGTCTAATTTGGCGCAAAAAGTTGATGGCAAAGAAAACAACGTCCTACCTCGGGAAACTGGGTCTCTGGACGCTAAACGAAGATTGATTGATTGAATTGAATTCATATTGCCATTGAATGAGCACAACAAGCATCCAATAAGAGCAGAGCATTTAAGTCTCATTTACATTCACAAAGCTCTTTAAACTCTCAATCCTGCTCAATCACCTCATTTTATTACTTAATTTAAACAATTTTATCACATTTTAGTAGCAACCATACTTTATAGTTCATCCTTCCATCAAACATCTTTTCAACTAGTCTCATCATTTATACTTCTGTGCAAATGATGTCTAATTTATCTAGTTACATTCACTTGAGCACTAAGTTTACTCGATACACAACTGCTTATTACATTGAAAACTAAATTTTCAAATTTCCATGCCATATATTCCATCACCATACACACGGCTGAAACTGTGTTAACTAACATTATCTACAACAAGACAATGATTTTAATAAGAACAGAGATGAATAGAAAATAAATGTGATACCTTGAAGATGTGGATGCAAACGATGCAAGTGAGTGTTGTTGGAGATGAGTGGCATTGCCCTTGAGAACATCCATCTCATCAACCTCTCCACTGCGGATGTTCACGTTGGTGTTTGTTATTATAACTGCATCATGTTCCAATCTCTCCTTCATGAATTTATCATTCTTTGTGTTATTATAGCTGTCATCAATGCTGGTGCTTGCTGAACAACTTGCATAACATTGTTCAGTTGAATTGCTGCTTGAACTTTTTTTCAAGCACTGGTCGAGATGACTGTTGATGTTGATCGGGTGGATCAAAGATTCACAAACTGGACAAGGCACAGCTTACAAAACAAAACAATTTTTTGAAGGAACAAACAATCAATCATTGGAAAGATTGCAAATCAGTAAAAAACAAACAATATAAGGACCATCATCAAATACTCTGAAAATACACAAAGGAAGCTGATCACAAAAATGAAGAAAGCAGGAGAAAATAATAATAACAATAAACAAAGCTATTAATTATGCGGAGAATTGTGTGAGTTAAATGTTTAAGAGTGCAAACAAGTGAAGCAGAGGGAAATATAGAAACATTTCAAATGTGCTGAAAGCATTGCAGCTGAAAATACGAAAAATGTATTAAGAGTATATGATACCTTTGTGGGTGGCAGGTGTGGGTGCATTGCTCACCTTCGCCATTGTTTTACTTTTTTTTAAATTTAAAATTTCCCAAGTAGAAGACTTAGGAGAGGTTAACTTGGCGCTAGATGGCACTTTTGTTGACGAGGAATTTTTTGACAGCGATAAAGATGAGGACGACGATGATGGAGATTTCAAAAAATTTGTTTGAGATGAAAATTTTGTTGAAGTAAATGATTGGTTGAAATCATCATCATCTTCATCATTATCTACATTGAACACTACCAAATCATTCACATCATTCTTCTTCACTGACAACTCATCTGTAGGAACCTTGATGACCACAGGTTCTTTTATTTGTTGTGTGCGACTACTGAATGGCTTCAAGGAATCAGATGATGGCCGCATTAAATCCAGAATCTTAGGCCTGTTTGAGATAATAGACCACCTCCTAAATGAAACAACCCTACATATGAACATTATGTAAGCACAACAAATTGAAACCTGACCGGAGCGCAGAATAAAGCCGGATTATGTCATCTAAAATTCGATTGCTTTTCAAATCATTTTCAAAAAATTTCTTTTCCAATGAAAGCAAAAAATGGAAATTTTCATTGTTAAGAAAAAAAAGGAAAACAAACACTGATAATAAAAAAACAAATTTTAACAACAATCTTTTAGAAGATGCATAAATAACGAAAAATAGACAAGAATGGAGAAAAAAGGATACTTCTGAGCAAATTGGGCACTGTTGTTTGAATGTGAAGTACTTGCGGATGCATAACGAACAATCTGATGTTTCCAATTAATTTTTTTTCAAAGTTAAATGAATATATTCTAACAACATTATAAAATTATAACGAGGACAGTTCAAAAATAACCACATTATGTAAAATCAATTTAGTTGACTGACATTTTACCATTTTATTTATTGTACATAAATATATATTTATACACATAAATATATAGTATTGTATAAGTATAAACATATATATGTATATATATATACATAAATATGTTTATATATGTATATATATTTGCATATATATATAGCATGCGTGTGCACCCACACATGTATGTAGTTACTTCTATAACATGAAACAGTGTTAAAAAAACTAAACATGTTCGTGAAATTGGTGTGGCATCTTTTAACTAAACATTGATAAATTTGATAGAAAAATTAATACCAGGAAGCAGTGAGAAGCAAAATAATACAAACAGTTATGAGAACAATTTGGAATAATCAGAGTTGTGTGCATGAAGTCGTAACAAATGCCACATTTCAATGTTGAATCTAAGTCCTATAAGATGTAAATGTATATTTAATGTGTAGTCTGTTTCAAAATGAATAAAATAAGATAACAATCAAATAAATTAAATAAATAAAAGAATGAACAAAGAATTATATAGATATAATCTTTGTTAAGTCATTTTTGAAAGTTAGATTTAATTTTAGACTGTTCTTTCCATTCCGAAGCTAATAGTTCCATCTGATTGTTTAATACGTGTCTGATAACTTCTGTATATCTTTTGTTTTTGAGATGCACATTCTTGTTTTTGTAAGACTGTCTTCGTCGCTTCATTTCCCTTTCCTTAGCCATTAATTCTATTTGAGACAAGGGCTTTTCTTCTTTGCTCACATCAGCCCTGTCAACATTTTCTAAATTAGAATTAATATTCATTGCTTTCTTTTGATTTCTTGCTATAGTAATACAATATTCATACATTTTTAATCTTTGGTTTGGTGTTAGGTCTGTGTGTGCACGTTTTAGCGTTAGCGGTAAATCATCTTCAGGTATCCCGAAAAGTTCACTTTGAATATTCTTTGGGATGTCAATTGGCACAACTTCCTTTGCTTTTTCATAGAAAAATCTTGTGCTTACTTCGGAGTTGATTTCCTTTTCTGTGTAACCTTTTGATTTATAAAAGCACTTTTGTTCATGTTTCTCAATTGATGTTGATGGCATGATGTGGTTGCTATTGAACTTGCATTTAACCATGACAGGACTCTTCAATATACTTTCTGCTGACCATCCAACATCTTTCAACATTTCCTCAAACCGTTGATCTGAAGCTAGCTGAGACTGTGACCAAGCGTTGTCAGCACTCATATTGACAACTTTTTAAAATCAACAAATCGAATTTCAATTTAACCTGTCTCTTTTTAATTTAATATTAAATATTTAATTTAATTTTCAATAAAATTTGTAAATAACTGTTTACCTATTATTAATTTATTTTTTATAAATAATTATAATATATTAGAAGTTTTGCATATAATATTGATTTCCAGTCTGTCTGAATCTGAACTCTTCTGTCTTCTAATCTCTAATCTAATTTTAATTTAACCACCAACAAGTATTAACTATTAAGACAACCAACACCAACTAGTTACTAGTAACTAGTTACTAGTCCAACAATTAGGCGCCAATAATTTCAAAAAGGTTGTGCCGAATATCGACAAACCTTCAGTTCAGGCAAAATTTCGGAAAGACGAGGCTCCATTTTTTGTGATGTTGTTATGAGATAAAACCAAAATGTTCATTAATCTAAGCGTTCTTTTTCTTCTTACTCACTCCACTACCATCGATCTTCAACATCAAAATTTTGACAACGTGTCTAGATAGATAGATTTGTTCAATTAATGCAAATAAATTATAGTAAGCCGTAGAATTTTAAACTGGAACTGCTTAATTATACTACATGTCCGAGATGCACATATATAAACATAAATGAGAAATTTTTTATTTATCGTTGCATTTATCTTGTAAATGTGTTCCGTAATAATTTTAAGGTCTTTGACCAAAGAAATTTTAAATCGCTATGGCTTGAAATTTTTCGTTTTTCCTTTTTTATTAGAGTATATTATTATATTCTTTTTGTGTTTTTAAACATTTTAATTAACGTTAAATAATTTTATAAGTTGTTTTTAGAAATATACTATAATTATTAATTTTTGTACAAACACTACGGATTATTATTTTATACAACGTATATATATAGATAAAACATCAACGCTTGGTAATCTACACTCGCATAATTCTGAATATTGTTATTGCGCGCTCGTTTACATTGTATCATTGGTTGCTCAATATTATATGTTGTTATAATCACCAAATGGTCAAGTTGCGCCATATTGTTATCTTGATTAGCTTTCTTATATTGCCATCGACTGACAGTTTCATGACTTTTTTGTAAATAAAATTACTTCTTTAAGAACATCTAATTCTGATTTTTCTCCTCATAACTTTACTAAACTTACTACTGAAAATTTTTCTTTATTTACTTCAATAAATCTCTTAAAACTTACTAAAATTATTAATTATTGATTATACTATTCTCTTGAAGCTGCTAGATCTTTTTTTAAATATTACTGATTCTTGTCTATCTTGGTTTTCTTCTTATCTCTGTAATCGTTTTTTTTCTGTTGTTCTCAATAGTTATACTTCTAACTCCTCTACTCTTACTTTCGGGGTACTTCAGGGTTCTATCCTGGGCCCTCTTCTAATTATACTCTATACTTCTGAACTACCTCGTATTATTAATAACTTTTCTTTTACTAGTCAACTATATGCTGATGATTCTTATATTTATACTTCTTTTCCTCCATCTAATCTCAATAGTGTTCTTCAAAATCTATCTCTATGTCATTCTTCAATTATCGCTTGGTCTGACTCTATTTGTCTTGAACTTAATCCTTCTAAATTTGAATTAATTTGTTTTAATAAATCTAAACACTCTATTACTATTATCTTACCTGTTTCTAAAACTCTTGATGTTTCTCACAAGTTTCGTAGTCTAGGCTATATCTTTGATTCTAGTATGTCTCTTTCTTCTCAGATTCATAGTGTTGCGAGAAGTTTTTATTGTCATCTACGTAGAATAAAAAATTTTTGCCTTTTCTTGATGATCCTACTCTTCTCCTTCTTGTTACTTCGTTAGTCTTATCTAGGATTGATTATTGTAACTTGCTCTACTATGGTCTCTGTTGCTCGTCTAGTTGCTCGTGCCCCTTTCTTTTCTTATACATCTCCATATCTTGTTTTCTTGCACTGGCTACCTATAAAATATATAATAATTTAAAAAAATTTTACATTTATGTATAAGTCTCAATTTAAATTATTTTCTAAGTAGTTATCGGATATATTAATTCAACCCAAAAACGCCCCGGTTTACGATTGTCTTCTTGTTCTCGCTTTTTCTTAACTCGTGTTATACACTCTTTTGCTAAATCTGCGTTAGTTTTTTCTGACCCTTTTCCTTGGAACTCTCTACCTACTGTTCTGACTACTTCTCCATCACTTACGAAGTTCAGAGCGGATCTCAAGACCCATCTGTTAGCAAAATTCGAGGAGGAGCGCAGTCGAACATTGCAGAAATAGTGCTTTATAAGCTAATTGATTGATTGATTGATTGATTGATTGATTGATTGATTGATTGATTGATTGATTGATTGATTGATTGATTGATTGATTGATTGATTGATTGATTGATTGATTGATTGATTGATTGATTGATTGATTGATTGATTGATTGATTGATTGATTGATTGATTGATTGATTGATTGATTGATTGATTGATTGATTGATTGATTGATTGATTGATTGATTGATTGATTGATTGATTGATTGATTGATTGATTGATTGATTGATTGATTGATTGATTGATTGATTGATTGATTGATTGATTGATTGATTGATTGATTGATTGATTGATTGATTGATTGATTGATTGATTGATTGATTGATTGATCGATCGATCGATTGATTGTAAAACTTGTATGGCACGGCATGTGCAATGTAAGAGAAGCGAGGTTTTATGGCGAGATTAACAGCAAAGTTAGTAGCGTGGTTCGAGTTGTTAGTTGTCCAGTTGAGCCGTGAGTTATTGGCAATTTTGCATTCTGGGATTTACGGATAATTCATTGTTTCTATTACTGTTGGCATTCGAATAAACGTTTAAACTAGTTTGCGTTTGAAGCAGTTGTGTTTATCTATCAGAACTTTTGAACCTACAGAATACGATAACTTGACAATAGTGCAGGCTATAACACAACACTGGTGTCTAAAATAGGAATCTTTGAAGTTACAACACTGATGTCAGTAGTGACGATTGTGAAGTTATAACAGTATTGTTGATTTCCTATATACGTATATTTGATATTCGACGGGTGTATTTATTATTATATATTAATAACAATAAATATAATTTTATATTTTATCATTAATATTTATATTAAAAGTTTTACCTATATGCATATGTGTAAGAAGCGGTATCAACTACGCGGACAACCACTTTGTTTTCACCTCTCTGGATCGCTTCTCTTCTGTTGTTTCTCATACTACTTTTAAATTCTCGCCACTTTTATTTTTTGGTTACCTCAAGAATCTATCCTTAACTTTCTTCAATCTGTACTGTCATTTGGACTTTGCAAACAGGATATGAAAACATCTTGAACGCAACACATGAGTCAAGTCATTTCTGTTTCTTCGGTACATTAGCAATGGCTTGGCAGATACAAATGCATCAATATATCCACATTATTCTTTTCAGCACATGCCTCCACAATACTCATGTCATTTTTCTATACTTTAATCCAACATATCTGATTTGAATGATTTTCTTTATAAGATCTCTGCTTTGTTACGTTGCAAATTTAACTAGTCCTAATTTCATTCCAGGAAACTGTTTTTATAAAATTATTTCAATATTGAAGTATCAAAGTTTATTACTTTAACACTCTAATATTGTTCATTTCCATTGCATATATATAATAAAGTATTAATTTGTTGATTTTTAAAACTTGAAAAAACCACAACCACTAAGGCAACAAAAAGAAAAGTGTTTATTACACACATAAAAACGATCTTATAAAACAATCTTATGCAACAGTTTGTCGCTTAATTATAAATTATAATTTATTTAATTTTTTGCGACCGTATTGCCAAAAATATATCAATAGCTGAATAAAATAAATAAATAAAGCTAAAACAAACACTTTTTTATATAGACGAATAAAACATTTTGGTTTCAAATTTTGAAAATTGTCAAAATGAAAACAACTACACAGATATAATAAAGCAAACGTTTGCAAGACAACTTTTAGCGGCTTGCATGACTGAAATTAAAGTTTGACTATTATGAAATTTCCTAAAAATTGTTAAAGATGCGTAAATAATGGTAGAAGATGTTCTGTGTTGTCGAGGGCGTCGGAGTAGGATATAACAGTTTTTCCGACTTCATCTTCTTGATTGAAAATGTTCTGACTCCCAAGCAAAAGTAGCGCATTTATTTTGCGCAGCTATGACATATTATGGCTTTTTTTCACTATCCCAAGATCTGAACATATTCAGTTGCCATCGTGTAGCAATCCCATAACATCCAGTTCTTCGCATGCATTGACGTGCTTTCATGAAACTTCATCCTCCTTATGAACGTGCGTTATATTAGTTAGCGCCATTCGTTTCAACGTGTTGCGGCTTTTGATGGCAGGCTTGTCGTGAACAGTTGCAGTATTAGCGTAACCACCGTTATTGTTGTTTTTCATGCTCACATTTTTGTCAACATCGTGTTTGCTGTTTAGAGAAATGTAGCTCTGAGTACGGCTGCTTTCATTGTTATTATGGCTTCCATTACCAACCAGATCTGAAAATTTTCTGAAATTCGGATAAAACATCTTATAATCGATCCTGTAAATTGAAAGCAAATCCATAAGTCGTTCCATGGACAGGTTTCGATAAAAATGTTCAAACATGTTGTTAGTTCTCTTTTCGTGAGGTTTCTCGAAGCCAGAATCTTTGAATGTCAGGTGGGTCAAGTTGAACTTGTGAAGAATCGAAAACGTGTCTGCCTCTAAAGTTTCATATTTACCTGCATGTATGTGTTTTTATTTGCAGGATTATATACTCGTACGATTAAAATTTTAATTATGTGCAATCGTTCTCGTACATATAGAAAATGTGTGTGCGGTTGTGTGGATACTTGTATTTCTCTGCACTTACGCACTTGCGATGAAGACAGCGATGGTAAATAAGTTAATCGACATGTTACTGGTGCAAATGTATAAACTATTTCAAACTATTGATCATTTCCTATGTATATTGTGACTTTATTTTTCTTTGTTGGAAAACAAGCAATTTAAAATGTAGCTTGATCAGTTAATAATTATTTATTGAAATAATAATTGATCGTACCAATAAAATGATATCTGATGAAGCAAGGCATACACGACTGACCCACAGGTCTTAAAATATCGTTCATCAGAGCTCCTCTTTCTTCTACAATTTCTTCATCTGTTATAAATCTGCCCGAACAGAAAGTTTCAAAGGTTGTCAACGGGAAATGCAAAATATGAAATAACATTTGAATGTATATATATATATATATATATATATATATATGTGTATGTATATATATATATATATATATACACAAACATTAAGGTTATATATGTATATATATATATATATATATATATATATATATATATATATATATATACACAAACATTAAGGTGTTCGAAGTGACATAAAAATAGTAAAACTGACTCATTAAAAAACACAACTCAAATTATAACTTGACAAAGTCTTC